GCTGGGCGTGTGCGCCGCCGAGCAGCCGGCCTGGCTCGTGCTGGAGTACAGCGAGATGGGCGACCTGGCGCACTTTCTGCAGTACCGCGAGCCCGCCGCCGCCACCCGGCCCGCCGCGCGCCCCGCCACGCACACGCTGCAGGCCCTCAGGTGCGCACGCGCCCCTGCGCACGCCTGCGCCGGGGACGCTTCTTATTATTGTAGTTGCGTTTTCGTGAGAACCTTTGCAAAAATCTATTGCTTTTAGAAGTAGGAACTGATCTATTGCCTACACTCCAGCGAAAAGGTTATCTACATCTTTCCTAGTGACAACGCCATCTACTTCAAAAGAATTACAGTGCAAATCATCCTCATTCATCCGCCCGTTAAGTAAACAAAAGCGAAGTCTATTTTTTTATTATCAGCATCTACTAAGAATAAACAAATAAAACATTACATGAAACACAAGTTCAATGGTTATCCACACATGAAAATGGTCTTATATTGTCTGATGACGAACGTTTCATATGTGGGGTATTACTGTTTACACACTTGTTTCTTAAATAACCATTGCCTCAAAGAGGAAAATGTGGCCTGCCCAGATGGCCTAGGCCAGAGACTGCTATTACGTGACTCTGAGGTCTTCATAAACAATTATTTGCTTATTATTATTTTAATATGGCTTTCTTGAAAGTATGTTAGATTTTATGCAGCATCATTTTTTGATTTGCAATGCTCTTGCAGCAATCTAATCACAATGCAGTCCCTACAATCCCCAAACTGTGAAAACGAGTGGAAAAAATAGGTGATGACAGTCAGAAAGGCAGGCGGAAAGACTGACTATGTCATAAAAAAACACGTGGGCCATTACAAACAAAAACAATATTATACAAAAAAGTAATTTTCTTGTTGCATTGTAATGATATGCCCTGTTTTTCTTCGAAATATCTAGCTACTTTTCAAAAAAATTCATTCAAGTTTTTGTCCAAATATTTTCGGATGTTGATAGTTTTAAAACTACTGAGTGTGAATCTGAATGTAGGTACTACTAAGTTAAATCGTAGTTCATTATGTGATGGTGGCTATGTAAATTACAAGACCGACTTTTGAGTCGCCTGACGTGTCTGTAACGTGAAACCTACCTCAACCGGGCTGAATCGTACTTAAAGACTTCTATCCAAATGTTCCCATGAAATCATTGATCTTGTTACATTGTTAGTCGAGACCAGTGGCAGACACAGACGCAAACGGCAGGCAAGGGAAACATATTTGTCCTTGAGGCGACGCGACGAGAGACGGAAGTTCCGAAGTTGCATCAAATATGTTGCTACCTCTGGAATGCTTCATAGTGGCTGGCGGAAGTGGCAAAAGCAGCGGACTGTAAATTGACTTGTTTAATATTTATACATATCAATTCTCCGTTACTCCTTCCATAACTCTGAAGGACCACTATGTATTAAGGCCCATGGAACCTATTTCTAGCCGTAAAGCTAATCGATTGGGAATTCGTCACCATCACAGAGAATTAAACACAAATGTGAATTAAAGACGTATAATTAAACAAATTGAGCAGTTACCATTAAAAGATGAGTTCAATATGCTGAATAGAAGCATACTTCAATGAATTTAGTAATGAAAGAACCAGTTAAACATTGGCAATGAGTGCCATGATTGATAGGCATGTAAATAACAGATAAATACAATTAAATGAACACACAACTGTGATAAATTTACATAAAATAAACATGTAGTGCTGAAAGATAGATTACACAATTTTACGTGTGACGTCTGGTAAACCTGGCAGACGGAGATGTTACAGGCAAGTCGCAAAGTGTGTCCCAGATAAGGGAACGTTGTTGCCAGCAAAGTTGAGAGGCAGGTTGGCAGACCTGCCGTCCGACGATATTGCGGAGCGCGTTAAGTGTAGGATGACGTGTTCTCAATGAAAGCTTTATCACGTCTCATTTGGTGTTCAATTGTGTTCACCTTACCCCTTGCGGGGTCTCTTCGAACAGTGGGCTTTCAGCGGGTTTTTGTTAGGATTTTTGACTCCTCTCCCCCGTACGGGACGGGGATCGGGAGTCTGGGTTGTGGACGGAAGGGTTAATTTATCTGTGGAGAGAGCTTTAACACAGTCACTACTTTACTGATAACATAAAATGTAGCATATTTGAACAGTAGGCACTAATAAAGTTGCTATTATAACAATACGATTGTTACAGTTTACACGTTGAGCGACACAGTTCAGATATTGCGGTTGCAATGTTTAAGAATTAGGTTACGCTGCAGAGGTAGTAACAAGTCTTACACTCGCGTATAAAGCAGCGATGTGAAATCAGTTAAATAGATGTAATTGGCAAACAAGAGGTGCGTAATGCCTTGTGCTGTAATTAAACATAGAACGATTGACAGAATATGCTGTTGTACATAACTTAGGAAAAATTACAAACGCGTGGGTGCCACATTGTGAAGTAAAAAGTAAACGAGCCCGTCGCTGGAGCGACACGAGGTGCACTCACTGACGATTTGCGACGCACTGCTCGGGCCGAGGCACTCCCCCCCAGGGGTGGGCGGCTCGCTGCCGGCAATTCGAGTTGTGACCCATAAGATCAGCCGTTTCAAATTCTTGCAATTGAAAGATTAGGACAATAGTTACTTTAGGATTGAAATGAATTACAGCATTGATTGACATTTTTAATTATCAAAATTATGGTGTTAGTTTTGTGTTTAATAAACGACGCAATGATTTGCACCATCTCGCGTAGCCGTTGCGCGACTGCCACGTGCCGTGCTGCGAAAAGTGCAGTTCTGCGAAAAGTGGGTGAGAAATTCCTAGAATTCCTCCGTGCCTGCTCGAGCTTGCAAGGCTTACGAAATGGTACAATGATAATATGCCCTGAACCTTTACTTACTTCGAAGTGCGTATTAAAGATATAATTAAAATTAAAAGTAGACACATTGCACGATCAGCGGAGAAAACACGACAGACACAAACAGCGATTCGAAAACTAAATAGCAATAGTTTACTCCACTGCTTAACTCCACCAGGTAATATAATATATATTATATATGCGAGGAAATGCGATACTAACAACATTATATTATAAATTAAACCATTTGGGGGGGGGGAATCTTGCTTCTCTTTGTTATTGTTCACTTATCGAACTGTCGGCACGGTTTTCGTTGTCAAATTGTCGTTTGGCGGCCCCCTGTGATTTGAGTTGGGTACCGTATTCGTTGGGGGAATAACAACACGATTGCCCAAGAGGACATAATCGTCATCGCCCCTGGTAAGCACATTTGGTTCAAAAGACCTTACACGAAGCATTGAGGCATAAATGGTATTTTCAAAAATATTAAAAAATACAATCTACTTGAAGCATATTTACAGGACGAATTCAAACGCCTGAATCCACATTAGACTGTTCAAAACGGTAGAGAAACTTGCCAAAATCATGTTTAGGTAAATTCTCCAGTACGTAATAAGGTAAAAATTGAATTTAAAAATAGTTAATGGCATCGAAAATGAAAATGATTTTATTTCCATCAATTGGTTGATCCCTTTAATTTTACATCCACCACAAAGATGTCCTTAATTGCATACAAGAAGGGGGGAATGTCTGCTTCATTCTCTGTGTTGCAGTAGCTAAGCTTTCATCACTGTAGTATCGTTTATCGGGATTTCAACCACATTCAGAGCTTTTAGAAATTTTATATAGTCAAATAATTAATTTATTGAGTCAACAACTTAAGAAAACTCTGTGGATCTAAAATGACTTACTCTGAAAATCATGAATAACACCCTACCCCAAAGTCACATGTTGGTATGGACTTCACATTTGAGACCGTGGAGCCCACTTGTTCAGAACATATGTTTATGCCAAAAGAGAGCAATAGGATTACACTGAACACAAATATAAATGAGCAATTATTGTTTCAACTTATATACAGTTTATAGTTTATACATAAACGCTTCTCTTTCATGGTCTCACGACCTCATTCAATAATGTTATATAGTTGAAGATGAGACACCCATGAATTCAACATGAGATATACCAATATTAGATTTGTTTAATGAGTGTACATTTGTAGAACTTCCAGTATACATCTAGCTAAGACACTGAGCAATGTGAATTTGATATCTTCTTTCTCAAGATCTTGATTTTTTATTATTACTTTCTTGTAAAGAAATTTCTCTTTCTTCTCCAGTATTAGATAATAATTTATTGAAATATTACTTATGTTAAAATAACACCATTTGTTAAATGAAATGATAATATTAAAATTATTGTGTCCTTTCGTAGCTTTGGCTGCCTCTTGTACATGGCAACCCAGGTGGCATCTGCCATGAAGTACCTGGAATCAAAGAATATTGTGCATAAAGATCTTGCTGCAAGGTACTTGTTACTATCATTAATTAAATTTTATATTTATTAATATAATTAATTACTTAATTAAAAATTATATTACCAATTACTTTAGAAGTATATTCAGATATATATACTATTAAAGTAATAGATATTTACACTTAAGGAAGCCAGTAAATACAGTTTTCTAATTCTACTGACTAATAAGTACATTCTTGTGTTGTAATGCTACATGGTCATTAATGTGTCCCTGCCACCATAAAACTAAAAATGTATCTAATATGTTTCCTAAGTATTCAGAATGTCTCAGAGGAAATTTTACAAACTCGTAGGGCATATAAGGTGTGAAAGATGATCTCTTTTTGCCGATGAAAATCTAGGAAAATCTCATGTGCTAAGTTATACATATGAAATTAGGAACATTGCTCCCCTAATAGGGAAGCATCTTATCCTGCCCTGATGGTTTGCAGGTGCATGAACGGGTTCCCACCCAAAATCAAAGAAGAATAAGTTTGCCTACCAATCAGGGATGCAATTTGCTAAATTGCAAACTTTTTTATATGAGATTTTCCTCCAAATACTTATTGGCAAAAACACATCACTTGTGACATCCTATGGTTCTATATGCCTGAGAAGTTTGCAAAATTTATTCTGAGAAATGTATACATTGAAGATGGGTGAGTGGCTGTAATAAAGGAAATAGTATCTGTACAAATTGAATTTGCTTCTCCCCATTTTTGTTTCAAAATATTAAAATTAGTTACATTTTTTATCAAATTTTTAACTCGCAAACTAACCAGCACTTCTCATTCTTTATTAAAACTATATTGTATTATTCAGTTTTGCCCTGCAATGTCAAAAGCCCTCTATAGTGATCCACTTCAACCCTCATTCTTAGCAAAATCCTTTTCTGAAACGTATATTCGATGACCTATAAGAACTTTCTCAGTATCTTCGATGTCACATTTTTCACTGTTTTGCATTAGAATTGTTTTATTGGTCCTTTAGTACGTATTATTAAAGAAAAAAATCAGATGAAGTAATATCATAACTCTAATAAATTGTAATTTTTGTTGTTGTTAGTACAAAGGACTCAAAAATAAATGTTTTCATGGAGAAATTTTATATATATGATCTATCAGTTTTTTTTTTTTTTTTTGTGTACTGTGGTTTCTATAATATTTCACATTTCCTTTCTATAACAGCTCAACTGCATTGATCAAATATAATCCTATCAAAGTTACCAGACGTATCCTTTGTATGATTTTTGTCCAGAACCTTTATTATATTTTAAATTTATCTTATTAATTTGAGTGAATATAAATATAAAAACTTTTTTCTAGTCACATATTTAAAAATTTTCTTAATCTGACATTCATCATATTAAACAAGAATTGCCTAATTATGTGTCTCATTTTTTTCAACAGGAACTGCCTAGTTGGTCGAGGCTATGAGGTGAAGGTGACTGATATTGCCATGTGCAGTAATCTTTATAAAAAGGACTACAGTGAGATTGGAGGTCGGCCTCCAGCCCCTATTCGGTGGTTACCATGGGAAAGCATTTTATTGGTGAGATTATTACTTTCTACCATTATTTGATTTCAAAAATAATAAAATTCAGCTTCTTAATTGAATAAAATAGAAAATTATAAGAACACAAACATTCGGTATTGAAACTACAAATACGTCCATAAGTACAACGTAAAATGAGTAAGATCCTGGATGTTGATTCTAAACTCTAATGATTAATTTCCGATTAAATCCATTAGAGTTTTTATTTAAAATGTTATGAAATATGTTTTTAAGAGATTTAGTGAAACAAACATTTAGTATAAAATATAATAACAATGAAAACACTCGTGAATATAGACGCACAAAAATAGCTCACTGCTTCACTCATAGTTCATACTCAGTCCAAACGGCGCGTTTCACCTAGCATGTCCGGGAACAACCGAGTTAACAAATCTCCAAATAACATTGTGATGTTTCTTTGTAAATGAATTTTTTGCGTCTTATACATTTTTCTAAAATTTTGAACCTTTCAAGCAATATAATTCTCATCCCTACATCTGCAGGAAGTAGAGTTTTCATTTTATTCCTCTCTGGGGATTTCTCCCTCCTTAACCATTTACATTCTAAAGTACAATGAAAAATCTCATTCAGAGCATTTAATTGCAATTAAAACATTGATCTGATACTCTTAGTCAATTCACTGCCTTTCCAACACAGGCACCGGAACTATTAGTAGTAAATACTTTCACTTGATCAATTTTATGAAATATGTTCGTTTCATCTCATTCGTTGCGTGTAACATTCAGAATGTTTTATCAAATGTCACAGTTGACAAACGTACTCGCCAGCATTTCTATTAATTTCATTAGATTCATCATTTTTTCATTGAATATCTTGAAGTTTCACACTATTAAGAAGTAGAAGATCCTGTTGCATTTTAAGAATGCTTAGCATCAAGCAGGGCCGTTTTAACAGCATTGGGGGCCTTGGGCCTAGGTTAATTTGGGAGCCCTCTATTCTTACTTTCACCGATGCCCCACCCCCTCCATTTCGATGCTGAAATAAAAAGAAAATCCTATGAATCCACATTTTTTTAAAAAATATTTTGAAAGTATTTTTTAGTGTTTTAATCAACATTGTTCAAACAAACAAAAAATATACATGTATGTATAAACAGGGCTTGATTTTTTGCAAAACGGTACCTCGGGAACGAAATAGGAAAGAAAAAAAAGGGGGATAATTACTTGGCAACTTCTTTTTTCAGTTCAAACAACTTTTGTAAACTCAAAATGAAAGAATTTTCAATTTAACTGTATCATTTCTACGAATGTAATAAAACTATTTCTAAAAAACAATAAAATATCATTATGAACTCTAAATTCTTTACTACTACTACTACTACTACTACTACTACTACTACTACTAGTACTACTACTACTACTCTATACTACTACTAACTACTACTACTATACTACTACTTACTACTATACACTACTACTTACTACTACTAACTACTACTACTATACTAACTTAACTACTACTACTACTACTATACTACTCCTACTACTACTACTACTATACTACTACTACTACTACTACTACTACTACTACTACTACTACTAACATACTAACTACTACTACT